GCTTAGCAGACTCAAAAAAGCACACCAAAGGCCAGAAGAAGAGAAAGATTTGGGGCACCATTTACTCCCCACCACCTCCAGATTAGCCTTGTTCCCAACTGATGCTCAGATTCCGTTTCTCAACAGCAACATTCAGCCGAACGAGATTCCAAGAGAGATCATCAGGTCAGTGGGAACTGGGCAAATTGGCAGGAATAGATTGGGTTTGCTGGCAAACTTACTTTGGAGACCCAGAATGAGCAATCTTTCATACTTTCAATCTTTCAATACTCCAAAAAGGTGACTTCCAATTTAGAAGCTGCGAAAAGAAATAATCATCGTGTCAAAAGCAGGACACAGAATTAGACTGCAGAAGCATTTCTTGGAGGCGAGAGCAATTAAAATGCCCCCAAGGCAATTAACTACTCTCCAACTATCAGACTGAGGTCCCATCAGACGGCTCCTTCTGTAGCAGATCTTCCTCTTTTCCATCTGCCGGTGCCAGTGGGTTCAACCTTTGCAGGTTCTGGCCCCAAAACAGACAGTAGGACGCAAAGGATTTCATCACTGGGACAATGATCCACCGAGTTTTAAAGACCCCCACCTTTCCTTCCAACTAAAGGCAGTTCACTTGCAGCAAAACCACTCACCATTTGGTGCAAGCTTTTTCAAGGCCACAGCTCCCATTCCAGGCCTGAAATGCAAGTTGAAAAGAAATTAAAGGCAACCAGAAGCTTCCATAATTGCACTGCTTCCTTCCCCCTCCAAGTCTTGCTGAGTTCTCAAACCCAAAGAGACTGCTTCATCTTACGAGTTCAGGCTGGGCCAGTGAGATATTGATCAACAGCAACACAGGAAGGAGCATTAGAGTAGAAAAGCATCGTTCTTTCACCAGAATGGAACATGCAATCATTTCTGGGCCAAAGCTGTCACTTGGATTCAGCTTAAAATCAGGATCATGGGGATGCCTCCCTTCTGAATCACCCATTTTCTTCTATTCCAGTCCAAGTTATAATTTAGTGGCCGCTTTGGGAGGGGGTTCTGGTGCTCCCACCAAAAGCTCTCAAAGAGGATACAGGCTTTGTATTCTTACAGGTGGCTTTGTTACTTAATAATTACCTTGCAGTAAAATAATTGCAGTACAGCATTAATGGCTGGCTCAGCCTTCTCCAAACTGGTGTGGGTTAGATACAGACTGAAAGACCCAGCCAGAATCCACCATTAACTCATTAGAATATCCTTAAGCCAATTTATTTAATTTAAAAAAAAACTGCTCCAGCGTCCCTGCACTCACCTTTCTTTAAAGTGGGTCTTTCTTTCTCTGTGGGATATTAAGAAAAGCCAAATTAGTAACAGAAAAGCAAGCAAAATATTCACGCGATAGAAGCATGGCAGATCAGGGCTTTGGTAACTCAATTGCCATGTGACTGAAGTCGTCCAACAACAGAGGTCATCATTTCTAGCACCGAAGTCAAGATTGTTTCTCCCAACTGACACCCCCCCTCCAAACTTACCTGTAAAAGCTCCGTGGAGCATGCCGATCCTGGTTCGAGACCCTGAGCCCTGAAACAAAGACAATTCTAAGAAATTACACATTTCAGCCCCAAGCTTCTCTCCTCCTGCCTAAAGTCAGGACCCTGCGTGTTCTCAGACAGTTAACTAAACATCACCTGTAATCAGATATATGCTTGTCTTATACACATCACTGAACGCAGGAAGGAGACTACCTATCTTTGATAACTAGCAACCAAGATTCTTCCTGCCTTTTATTATGCCAGTTTTACTCTTGCTATTCGTTTTTCTAGCGGGCCTTTGGCTCTTAAGCCACTAGAAAAATGAATAGCAAGACTAAAACGGCTTTAAAAACATTTGAAATCGACATTCTGCACTTTTAAGTTACTTACATGTAATGCAGGTACCTCAGCGTTGCTCGTGCCTGCAAAACAAGGCGTGGGGAAAATGAATATATTTTCTATGCCATGCAAGCCTCACAAAGCCCCTATATTACACAATAATTTGGGGATTACAGTTGGTCAATTCGCCTTTTTCTATCCCTGGGGCTACTCAGAAGTAAATAAGTTTTCTCCACTGAAATCTCAGAAAGAGAGAGTTCTGGATCTCATCATTGTAGCATTTTTCCCCCACCTTCATACCAACTCCTGCAGATCATCTCTTAAGTAAACAGCTCTTTTTGGACCGTTCAAATTTCAGATCAGCAGAGCTGGCACATATAACATTTAAAACACTTTTATTAAGTTAGTGAGACTTCCTCATCTCATTCATTCCCCTCCAAATTAGCCACTTCTTCCATTTTTTTTGACAATTCTCCCATCTAATTTCATATATTAACTGCGACAGACAGTGACTTTTCAATCCGTGATTTGGATTAATCAATTCCCCTTTCTCATACCCTTTTCCTATTGCAGTTGCTAGACAAAATAGCAAAATTCGTGCCGGCCACGGAAGAACTGGGGAAATCCAGTATTTGCTCCATTTTTTAAAAATAATCAAATTCTCAACCCAGCGTGTCCATTAAAAAGCCCACCTCACCTGAAAGCCGAGCTGCAGACTCGGATCCATTCCAGACTCTAGAGAAAAATAAAATAAAAACTAGTTAATAAGCACTATCGAACATTGGTTACGTTTTGCCCAGCCACGGATTCCACGAGGCAGGAGTCTTTTCAGAAGATAAAAACATCCTCACAGAACATTTCGGAACAGGTCTGTGTAATTTCATCAGCAAGAGACTCCGCTTTATAAAACAGCACCATCCATACGAGGCTTGCAAATTGAAAACTGGTTAGCTTTTCCAACGTGCACAACTTTTCTTAGGGATTTATAAACACCTAGCATTTTAAAGGAGTTTGCAAAAATAAAGCAGAAATTAACCCACTGCAAATACTAGCTGGACGCCTCTGTCAGATTGCATTTCCCTCTCCTATCGCCCAAGGAATAATCTTACATATGCTTAATTATTAGCTTGGAGGGTCAGGCCTGCCAGGCGTCACGCGCAGCATTTCAACCTTCCCCAGTGAAGATTCTTTTGCACAGATCTCATTTGCTGCCTGCACTGGCCTCGCCCCTCCCCACTGGATTTTTCAACCCAGTGGATCCTAATTGCGAATATAGGCGAGGAGGGCAGTTTGAAAGAGCTTCCCCTGGTCGGGATGGGCCTAATCTTCCCGCAGGCCGAGGATGGCGTTGGATTCAGAAGACCCACCTAGTAACTCACCGGAGTCTCTTCGAGAAAGAAACAGGGACCGGCTGCAAAGGAGTTAAATAGTCAAGGGCCGCGGGGAACGCCGGGAAACCCCCCGCCCCCTCCAATGGCGTTGAGGAAAGCCTCTAAAGCCTTTAGTGCGCAGGCGGTCTCGTTCGCGAAGGCTTTGAGGGTACGCGTGACTATAGAGATACTAAAAGAGGAGGTTGGAATCCTGCCTTCTTGTCAAAGATGTTTCATAAACATCTTTTCAAAAGATGTTGCCTTATATTTGGCTACCTGCGCGTCATTCACATTCACTCCATACTGTGAGGGATAGCAGATGAGAAGACAACGGTACAGGGTTTGAAAATATAATGGTCGATGGCGGCCATCGTTAACGTCGGATGGAAGGTTTTTTTGGCCTAGTCCCGGAAGGTCGTCTCTTGCCTCGTCTATACTTTTAACTCTACGATGAGTAGTACTGCAGCGCGGGAAAAAAGCGCGCGAAAGGGCGGAGCAGTGCAGAAACGGAACTGAGAACCCGCCGTACGCCCGCGCATGCGTAGTTGACATGATGGCGGGCGGGGAGAGGGGAGTCGCCTTTCTACGTTCTCCAAGCAAGTGTCCCTAAGCATGTACAGAGTGCCCCCAAGCCCATGCGAAATGGCTTTTAGCCCACTAGAAGACCACCCTAGGCGGATCCATCTGACCCCTGTGTTTAAAGCTGTGACTGTTCCACCAATCCTTATTATTCCATTCATGTTATTCCACCAATTCTCTATTTTCTAAATCAAGAATTGTTGCAAGAGTCATGAGAGAGCCTTGAACTGTGGAGGGGGAGGGAGATGCAGAACTGAAGAGCTACAGATTGAATAAAACAGTGTTTCTGAACCTTGGCCACTTGAAGATGTGTGGACTTCAACTCCCAGAATTCCCCACCCCGCCGTTTCTTGCTGGGGGAGTTTTTGGGGTGTAATCCACACACCTTCACATTGCCCAGGGTCTGAGAAAAACTTTTATTTTTACTTTAGCTC